AATGATAAGAATATCAGCTTGGAGGGTTCAGGGTATCTCCTAGTCGAGCAGTCTCGACGAGGGACTTCTTGCTTATTCTTTCTCCATCTTTATCTTTCTTTATTGCCATCAATTTTTCACTCTTTTCCGCACGCTTCTTTTTCTCTACCCCTTTTCTTTCCCTTTTCCTGTTTAGTTTGTCGTATCACTCTGTTCATCTCTCTCTATATCTTTTACTCCCTTTCCCTCTACTTAGGCTAACTATTTTATATTTAATAGAGTATACGAGCATTTATGATTTTTATATAGCATGGGACTGTAACTCTGATTGCTTTTATTAATTTATTTTCAATGTGAGTATGAGAGTGCCACAAATAAATATTTGAAAATCATTATCAACGAAATGCTTAGTAAAGTTCATATCAGTCAATGTTCAAAGTAGCGTACGAAAATCGAAATTATGGAACCCCAATTAAGTTCAATCTAATCGTTAGAGATTAGATTTCATATCAATGTCAACAGAATAGAAGTTATCGTCGTCGTGTAGCTGAATTTAGTTCATTTTCTAACATCAAACAATAAACTTGAACCACAAATGACGCCACAAATACGCCCCCTATCGGCCAATTTGCAACGCATAGCCATTGAGGAGCTGAACGAAGTGCCCGAACGTCTCGATGCGGATATTGAAGCATTACGCGCCTGGCTCAAACAGCAGCCACATTTACGAGCACGCAGCGACGATCAGTTCCTGGTCGCCTTTTTGCGCGGCTGCAAGTTTAGCCTGGAGAAGGCCAAGTCTAAGCTGGATAAATTTTATACGCTGCGCACTCGCTATCCGGACTTTTATACGATACGTGATGTGGACAGTCAGCGCCTACATGAGCTACTGCGCCTTGGGTGAGTGGCTATTCCAGATGGACGCGAATACTCTGAACTGGATCTACATATCTTAACCCTTCCTTAGCGTCGGCTTGCGCTTGCCACGTCCGCTGCACGATGATGGGCCACGGATCATTTATGTCCGACCTGGCTCCTATGCGGCGGACAAGTATACCTTCGAGGAGATAATGGGCGTGTCGCACGCACTGAGCGCGTTGAGTCTGCAATTTGACGACTACTCCGTCGTTTATGGCTGCCTGCTCATCCTCGACTTTAGCGGCTATACGGCGGCCCATCTGCTACAGCTCACGCCGAGTATTGTCAAGAAGATGTCCGTCTTTGCCGAGGAGGCCATGCCCATTCGGGACAAGGGCAGGCACATGATCAACACGAATGCCGTCTTCGAAAGGGGCTTCAATATGATGCACTCACTACTGCCTGCCAAGGAGCAGAGTCGGGTATATACCAAGATACATGCATACTTAATATGTCTGTCTCTCCCTCTAACAGCAGTTTCTGGTTCTGCTTTAAACAGATCTCAGTACACGGAAGCAATTTGGAATCACTTTACAAACACATACCGCAAAAGTATTTGCCCACACACCTGGGCGGGGAGCAGGGCACGATTGAGGAGCTCCAGCAGCAGACATGGGATATCTTTCTGGAACAACGGGAATACCTTAGGACGGAGGCTAAATATGGAGTGGACGAAACGCTGAGGCCTGCTGGACAGAGCTGCGATTATGAAAGCATTTTTGGGGTTGATGGATCATTTCGTAAATTAAACATTGATTAAAACAATGATCAGTGCACATAAAGAAGGATCAGTGTCTCTTGAGTTCCTTTTGAATCTATTTAAAAATTTTAATAAAGATTTCTTCTAAAGGCGATGTATATCTTCAAATTTTATATTATTTATATTATTATATTAATATATAATCTATATAATATAGAGCAAGCCAAGAGCTAACGCAGGGTGTATTATAATATCTTATACACTCGTCTGATAAAATATTTTTCAGTAGTGTACGACTATTAAATGTTTATTCGATAATTTTACGAAAAGGTATGTGATTTTGGGCTTTGGACTCAAATACATTTTTTGTATTATTTTTTGCATTTTTATTCGGATTTGCAATGAGTGGATATACGACTCCCACGCAAAGAATTCAGTTCATGTTTAGGAATTGCATTTTCTATTTGTTTTCTGCTCAGATGAGTATATACTTAATAGTCCGATTTATGGCCAAAGTCTTCAATGAAATCGTAAGAACTCGGCCATTCACCTGGCATAACGCCCACACCGGGGCCGCCACCTGCTGTCGGAATATGTACATAAATCGAACTCATATTCGATGTCTGTATCAATATACATCCATGTAGAAATTTCTAAATAACCATATACGAAAACTTTCTTTTTGCGGCTTTAAAATGAAAATTTTTTAATATTAATATTAAACTTCAGAATGAGAATATTATTAGGGATTTATTAATTTGTACAGCTTTTGTTTTCTCAATTTTGTTTTTTATGTCTGCAATCTACTTTGTTCTTTATCAATAAACAAATTTTAGGTAAAATGTTTTTTTTTTCTCTCTCTCTCTTTTTCCATTTGTATTCTTCCAGAGTCAACAAATTATTTGTGTGTATAGATTTTCACACTTGAAAATCGCAAGAAATAGCATTTCGTGCATAAAGAATTGGATCAATTCGATCCAATTTATATTTATGTCTAATAATTTATACTGAAGAGCCATGGCGCAAGAGACATGAACAAATTGGATTCGTTTCTTCTCACTAGCTAAAAACGAGGTCCAGCTAACATCAATAAACTGTAATATAAATGTGCAGCTCCAATTGGTAAATCTAGAGCTGAACAGTCCATCGATCGTGTCAATTTGCATTCCGAATTTGTACTGTCGTAAATTTACTCTTTCATGACTGATTCCGGTCGATGGCAAGTGCTATAAATCGAATGTGAAAGGTTTTGATTTGGTTGTTTTTTTTTTTATGATTTACGACGACTCATTGATTGATTTTCATATTTGGAATGAGATTACTGATCGGGATAAATGGAGATGTGCCGGGCTACCCAATGACAGCCAACACGGTGCTTTTATGCATTACTCTAAACTATCTTTCGAAAATGTTGTAAAATTATCTTGAAAGTTGTTAATCAAAAGCTTCTCAGTCCATAATATTTCAATGTAATTCATTTGAAAAATTGAAATAAATTTCATTTCACCTTCATGATGAGTTGTGAATGTCACCGTTCATAATGTAATCAGTAGATAATTAGAAGCTGATTCACCTCATTTGGATTTAAACGAACTAAGATGATGTCAAAAGCTGCTCTAGCATTGACCGTGCTCTTCGTGGCACTATTTGGTGTCAGTGCGTTCGGCGACTACGAGAATAACCCGAACTTATTTTGCGTCCTTAAGGCAATGTTATATGCAATTAAATCCCTGAAGTGTCTGCAGCTTACAGCTCGATCTTTTGAACAGACTACAAGCAGATATTATTTTGCTATTTTAAAGTCCAATCCGGCCACTGATGATTTTATAAGTATCATGAGAGACATCCACGCAGCTAGCACCAATATGATAAATGCTTGCAACTTAAATACAATGAGCATATTTAAAGGGGGTTTATGGTGTACCTCGACGATTATCTATGAATACTTCCAGCTGCGACTTTGGATTGTCACGGCGGAATCTATTGGGAGCAAAAGTGAACAATTCAATAGTTGTGTAGCACCTAATGTCAAAGAGTTTGTTGAAAGTGGAGTTCCTGTATTTTCAAAAACCAACAAAAATGCTCAATGAGAAAATTTGCTCGAATATTTTAATTAATGTATACATACAATGGGGTATTGTCTATAAAGCTCGAACTGAATTAGGATAAATGATCTTATCTGTAGAATTAGTTTCCTAAACTGGAGAAGAAGCGAATACGGAGTATCTTCTAATCAATTATGTCTCACGAATCGCTTTCATTGATTTGCCCAATGCAGTGTGCCAACACTAAATCTGTGAATCACATAGTAGAAGGTCAGACGGTCTAGAAATAACAGCCGATTATCAAATTTAATCATTTAAACTACAACCGCCTCAAAATGACAATAATAAATAAAGTCACTCACAGAATAAACAACAAATTGAATTTACTTCCCGACTATGCAAATCTATAAACAAACTGAACAACAGTTCGCTCTCATGTTAGAATACTATAAAACTAAATAGTGTATCAAAAGGAATAAAGAATGGAATGGAATATAAATGGAAGCGAAAATTAAAATGGAAATGGAAATGAATATAATGGAATAAAATATAATAGAATTTACATTTGGGTGTTGGTTAGATTCGCTTTGTGAGCCGCAGCTGCTCAGTTTTGATTTATGGTCACAAATATTTACTTGTCGTATTTAAATATGCGAAGAAGCTTTTTCATTAAAATCATAGAAATAGAAACTAAATAAATATTATTTTTGGCTTGCTCTCGCACTTTGTTTACTTGTTGGCCAAGGTTATAAATCAAATTGTCAAAATAATGCCAAGAGCAGCAGGTGAAACCAGTTAGGTGGCTCCTAAATACCCTTTACAAACCTTATGCTTAAAAAATCAACTGCATTGACTAACTAATATCATATAAATTGTGTTCTAGTTATTATTATTATTTTTTTTTTTTTTTTTTTTTTTTTTTTTTTTTTAAAAAAAAAAAAAAAAATTTTTTTTTTTTTTTTTTTTTTTTTTTTTTTTTTTTTT